CAAGTTGAGATCCAGAGAGGCTAAGGACCTTTCCTTTGTCATCCAGCTGTCATTCAAAATTTAAAGTGGAATAATTAGTGGCAGAGCTGAGACTCAAACACATGACTCTTAGCTGTTGTTCTGTTTCATCTCCTGGCTTTACACATCTTGGCTGTAGAGAATCTGATCAAACATCTTTTACTTGATATTTCTTCCTTTCATACCACAGATGAGTGATCCACACAGAGGAATGGTTTGACAAATGCTGATAATAAATTTTGTTCTTATTTTTGGTTTAAGGAAAAGTCAATCCAGACATCAGTCTAATAGAATTATATAAATGTAAAGTAGTATCATTCTGACACTACCAGGATGGGTGCTTAAGAGGAAGCTTTGACACGAGAGTGGATAGGGGTAGAACAGAGTTGGGTACTTGCCAATATACTCTCCTTTCTGGCTTTTTAAAATACGAGCTCAAAGGGAAGTACCCACAATCATTTCCTTTTAAATGGGAATTTAATATAATAGTCACAACACCAAGGAAAAATGCCATGTGGATAGATAGTCATGGGAAATAGAAGCCATCCCAGTCAAGTTTGAGTTTTTGTCTCATGTATAAGGTGAAAGAATCTAAGTTTACTGTAATAACAGCATTCCATCAACAGCCCAGATGTACTTTTGGAGCTGTGTGCTCTACATTTTGATTATACACTTAATGCCCCTGTGGATTCCTGACATTACAGAATTTCATTAAGGGCTGTCGGATACTTTCTAACTTGGTTCTGTTCTTTATTAAGCAAAAACACTATTTCTTAAGTGGCTGAGATTTAGTACCTACCTTTAGTCACTGGTATTTCATGTATGCTGTCTACCACTGTAATTTTTGCTGATGCTGAAGCTTGTCCTTGAGAGTTGGATGCATGGCACTCATATTCTCCAGCATCTTCCTTACTGAGTGGAGATAACTGTGAATGGAAAAGAATCTTTAGTGCCTCTATGCTGGTCCTCTCTTTTCCTAGTGGTCTCAATGAAGTCGTTATAAGTTTCCTGTGATGACCAAGGAATTCACAGCAAAGATACTGCTAGAAATAGTGCAAGTCCCATGCTAGGAGAATTACACAACTACCGGATTTGGTTTGCTGGGGAGATGCGTACTCTGAGGGAATGTTACCGACAACTTTCGGTCACATTGCAGAGGTTAACAACTGGAGAGGTGCACACGACAGTTGGAGGAAGACCTTGATAGGGTGGGTGTATGATCTCAGTACTACACAGTGAGTATCTACAACTATCAAAGGTCAAGTAAAATAACTATTAATCAGTACTTGATTAAAGTACTTAATGCATGGATCAGGTCTGTGATCATTTTGCTTTGGAGTAGAGGAAAAAAAATTAGTTCTTATTTGTTGGTCATTTTTAAACATCCAATGAACTTCAGCTGTTTTCAGCTGCGTCTGAAAGTGGAGCAGCAGCTCCGTGTGAGTGCTTCCAGCCGGGCAGTGCACCGGGCGTCTCTGCCAGGTCCGCGGTGTCCAATTCCAACAACGAGAGCCTGGCCAGCTCCTGCTACTCACCAGCACCCAGCCAGTTACTTCGTGCTTTTCTGGGCCACCTCGGGTCTGAATGGCCAGGTTGTCCCGGTCACCAGGCAAGAGTTCTGTCCTGTGAAATCTATTATCGTCCTTTTTTACCTGCAAAAAAGAGGGAAATCGTCTCTGCATTCTCTGCACTGAATCATCAACTTGGAAGAGGCCACGTTTCTATAATTGCACAAGGAGTACATCAGACTTTTTAACTGGGTTAGAACTAGCAATTTTCATATTTTTCCTGAATAGGTACATGAAAGATCCTCATCCTGTCAGTTTCCCTCCCTGTGTTTTAAGTTATACAACCTTACATGTATGAATGTACTTTTCTGCATGCTTGGGGAACACACATCATGCTCTCCTGCCCCGGGAGACCATCATTTACTCACGCCCTTACACATTCTGCTGCTCTGCTGGGCCTTTCCTTGCTTGCCAAGACATGTTTGAGCGGCAAACGGTATCGCCCAGTGCTAGGTAGGTTTGGTGCTTGGGACCTTCTGCAGGAGCCCAGGTGCAGGGGTTCTTTCTGCAACAGCCTCATCAGTGAAAAACAGTAGGTTGAGTTAAATACCAATTCTTTGAGGGCTAAGGATTCACCAAGTATGTACTAAAGTCCTGAGAACAAAAACGCCTGTCAAACAAATGCCTATGTCATTCTCATGACAAAACTTCCTGTCTATCCCTGTGCGTCTCAGGAGAGTCAGGATGGGTTAAGAAATTCCGTTTCCTTGGTTTGAGGCCAACAGTAAACACTGTCTTAACTTTCCCCCCCTTTTATAAAGGCAAACTATGGCCCAGGCCGGGTGGCTCATTTGTTTAGAGTGTCGTCCCATGAACCAAAAGATTGAGGGTTCGATTCCCAGTCAGGGCACACACCTAGGTTGCGGGTTAATATCACAAGGTAACTACTGATCAGGAAGTCACAGACCACTCATCAGGCTGTGACCACCATAGAAGTGCTGTCGCCTGGTGTCGGGAGAGAAGGTGTGTCCTGTTAGTTCGGGTGTTGCTGAGATCCTTGAGCATGAAAGACATGCCACCTTTACACCTCATATTCTATTACTCATTTATACCCACAAACCAGTTCCGTGCTTAAAGTGGAGTGGACGTGGGAATGCATAGGAAGCCTGTATTCTCAGCAGTTTGGTACAAGGACAGTGGGGAGAAAACATGTCCTGTTTAATTACTTAAGTCATGACTTTTAAAGTGAATTGACATGGCCCAAAGTAAGAAACACATTTTGCATTGTGATGTGGAACATACAAAAGGAAGGTTTTAGGGAATGATACCTTTACTAAATGTGATGCCATAAGATATTTCCTGTCCTATTTTTTATTTTTAAGAAACTGCAGGCTGTGATTCCTACGTTACACTCAGAACTCACTGGTGGTTCGTGATCTGCAGGTTGAAACAACTGCTTTATGCCACCCATGTGGCAAATTACACGATGGAGCAGAGGAAAATCAGCAGAGCCTAGAAGCTGCGTTTTTGCTTGTTTCTGGCAAGTTTGTAGAAAATTATTTTTTCCTGTCCCCCAACTTCCCTCCCCCAAGTTGACAAGCCCTAAGGAAGCCCGTGGGATCTGCCCCACACAGTCCCAGAAGCTTAAAGGAAAAGATTCCCCGGGCAGATTTATTCCCCTGGTGTGTGTACGCCAGCTGGGGAGGGGCAGAGAAAGGGCTGAAGAAATTACTCGCTGCCAGATTTGTCAATAGGTCACAGGCCTTGGACACTTGGGTCACCCTGGCTTCCACTGTGTAGTCCCTAGAGCGCTGCAGAGCTTTGTATGGACATTCTTTGGAAATACTGTTTCTCCGCCTCTCACTCCCCAACAAACCATTAGCTTCCAAACAAGCAAGGAGGAGCGACAGCAGCTTTCACCATGAAGGCCAGAAGGTACACACCCATCAGCTGCATTTTTGCTCTTAATTGCTTCCCACTCCCCTTAAAAAAATAACTTATTGAGGTGAAAGAATTTCACTGCTTCCTTTAACAGCAATTTCAGCTGCAAAGGATAGTTGTAATGCAGCTGGTGCTGTCTCTGCCCACCCCCAGGCATTTTCTGGAAAAAACACTGCCTTCATTCCCACCACACTGCCCAACGGGGGCGATGCGGCCTTCTGGCCACATGGAGGCGCCAGAGGTTGGCAGGTGACCCAACGTGAATCAAGGTCCTACAGGGGGAATTTTACAAACGCACTAGAGAGAGTGGAACAAAATTTCCTCTGGGATCATTAAGCCGTGATAATGTGAACTTGGAGCTGCCAGTAACTATATCGCTCACAGTGTGGAGGAAGCTTTCTGAGGTGGAAGAAAAGAATAAGACATTGGGAGCAGTCAAGAGCCAGGAGGCTAGGCACATTGTATCTGGATCCAGCTGCCCTTGAAATTGGAATCACCACCCACTCGACCTCCATTATTTTTGCCTAGACTAGTTTGAAGTGAGTTCTACAACTTGCAACAGAAAAGAGTTCTGGTGCCAAAATCCCTCCCAGAGTTCCAGAAACTGCTCCTCTGGTCAGACACCAAGCCAACAAAATAATCAAGAGACCATCATCCATCTTAGAACTTGATGGAGAAATAAGCCTGCTACAAATAAGTGTCTGGTTATGCCTTTTTACTGAAATAGATTTCCTGTTTGTTTGCACAAGTCTGATGATATGTACTTAATAGGATTTTCGTGGGGGGTGCTAAAAACAAGTCAAAATATACAAACTGGGAAACATAAAATACTGTACAGTGCAATCGTTAAGTATTATTTGACCTGGCAAATAGTTTCCCTTCTACAGACATGCTGAGAATATGTTGTCCTTCAAATTGGAAGATAGTTACACAAAACAATACCACCTGAAGGGAAACATTTCCAGGAATAGTAGCTAACAAGCAGTGCCAACTACATATCTGACAAGCCAAGTGATTTTACCTGCTTTATGTCATCTTTTCAAGAATTATAAGCTACTTTCATGACACAGAGGAGGAAACAGAGGCTTAGAGCAATGGCTCTCAATCTAGGTAATTTCCCCCCAGGGGACATTTGGCAATGTCCGTAGACTTGTGACTGTCACACTGAGGGAGTGGGTACTACTGGCATGTACTGGGTAGAGGCCAGGGATACTGCTGAACACCTTACAAGGCACAGGGCAGCCCCCACAACACAGAATGATCTGTTTCAAAATATCAACAGTGCTTGAGGCTAAGAAACCCTGACTTAGAGAGAACTCAGCCAACCTGGCTAAGGAACTCACCCCCTAATGGGGACACACACACCCCCATGCACGCACATGCTGACACTCATACTGAAGCACAGGCATGCTCACACACGCACACACATGCACACCGAGGGCGAGTTTGGGTGTCAGCATTGTAGTTTCCCAGTTCCTAAGGCTCCCCAACAAAAGCAGAGCAGGGGCTATTTGGCGGTCAGTAAAAATGCTGGTTAGATCCCGGGGACGTATCTAGAAGATTGCCATAAGGTTTCAAGGAGGAGCAGCAGGCAATGGAACCGGCTGAGGATTTTAGGTTAGTACCGTCCCTGTGCAGTGAGAGAGGATGTGTTCTTAAAATCTGTGTCACTGACCTTGTTCCAGATGAGGACAGGGGTTGGGATTCCGATGACCTCACAGCTCAAGTACACCTTGGCACCAGTGACATTCCAGATGTTCTTAGGGGGGGTCACAATGGAAGGACCTACAAGAGAGGGCACAAAGCCAAATAATTTTTTTTAAACAATCTTTAGCATCAGTCAGCATGCTAGGAGATCAATACTTGATTTTGTTTATGACGCTGTCCCCTCTGTGAATTATCTGAAGCAAATTTCAAAGACCAGACTGGCATCCCTTGGCCACCAGCATGACTTTAAGCTATGCTTTGAGAATGTGTACATCTAGACAAAAACAAAAAATAAGTAGGAAGAAAATTTTATTGTTTGTAAGATTTTCTACTCTCTCAAGTCATGCTTAAATGCGTTTGAATTTACCAGCTGTTTTGCATTATCTGGGTCTTTCCAATTAATATAGTGAAGATTTAGTTCCAAAATGTTCCATGTTTTTCTTTCTTGTTTACCAGTATTTTTAGTTATGGGGGGCGGCAACATAAAATAATCTACGAAGATATTTGAAAATGTTGAGTACCCTGAAAAGATGGTAGGTAGTCCCTGCCTTAAGAAGCTTGGGATCTGAGGTTGGCGAGTCAGTGGTGATAAGGCAGGGATGGTAACTTTCATCAGAGATCCACATGAGGAGCTGTGTGCCCTGGGAGACACTTTTGAACAGAAGTGGCCTGAGTGTTAAGGAAGAAGGTGGAAGGAGGAGGCAGTGGGTAAAAGAGAAGCAGTGACAGATCTACTGTGTGTGACCAGGGCCCCCAAGGAGAGGGCTCTTTTTAGGATTCTCAGTTTCCAGGTCACTGGCAGCGGGCGTGGGCAAGTGGGGCACCTGTGGAAAGCATTGTCTGATTTGAGTCCTGGGTGTGGGACCACCAGGGAGAGCCCAGAGTGACACCTCCTATCCCCTCAATCCTGGCACACATCCCTCGCCTTCTCTATCATATCCCCTCCAGTAAGAAGGTCCTTAGCAGCAACAACAACATATTCATCCTTTTTGTGACAGAAGAGGTCTGGGGGTTGGCAAACTCTGGCCTGTGGGCCAAATCTATCCTGTTACTTGTTTCTACATGGCGTGTGAGTGGTCTTTACATCTTTAAGTGGTTGGGAAAAAAAAGAATCCTATATAATAAAAGCATAATATGCAAATTGACCAGAAGACTGAACAGCGGAACGACTATCCGGATGACCATCTGGACGACCATCCAGATGATCATCTGGGACCACGCTATGACACCCACTGGCGCCAGGCCAGCCAAGGCAGTGCGATGTGATTGGTTGGGGGCCCAGCCATCACCCCATGATTGCCCCACAGAGGGAGGCCCAGGCCACCGACCAGTGGACTGTAGCAGGTGGGCGGGGCCTCTCTCTGCGAGAGAAGCACAGGTCACAGGTGCCAGAGGGAATTTGGTTCCAGCAGCCAGGGGAAGGCAGGCCTACTCTTGCATGAATTTCGTGCATCAGGCTTCTAGTATTTCATAATGTGAAAAATTTAAGAAATTTACAGTTCATTGTCCATAAAATAAAATGTTATTGGGCCCTGGCCGGTTTAGCTCAGTGGATAGAGTGTCGGCCTGCAGACTGAAGGGTCCCATCTTCAATTCCGGTCAAGGGCACATGCCTGGGTTGCAGGCTCAATCCCCAGTTGGGGGCATGCAGGAGGCAGCCAATCAATAATTCTCTCTCATCATTGATGTGTCTATCTCTCCCTTCCTCTGAAAATATATTTTAAAAAATGTTATTGGAACACAGCCATGCCCAGAGTGGAGCATTTGTGGCAAAGACTGTATGGCCTAAAGTATTTATCATTTGGCTCTACAGAGAAGATAGTGCTGATCCCTGCTCTAATCAACTGAGAGGCCACCAAACCTAGGTAAGACATTAGGGGAAAGTCTCAGGACTTCAATGCGCTACATGTTACCCAGAGCAGATGTGGATGATTTCTGGTCCAGCTCTGAAATGCAACACCTTTTTATTTTAAATTTATTTTTTATTGATTTTAGAAAGAGAAGAAGGTGTGTGTGTGTGGGGGGAGAAACAAGATTTATTGTTCCCCTTATTTATGCAGTCATTGGTAGGTTCTTATATGTGCCCTAACGGGGGTTCGGACCCACAACCTTGGCATATCAGGACCATGTTCTAACCAGCTGAGCTCTCTGCCAGGGTGAAATGCAATGCTTTTGAAGCCAACAGATACTGAAAGATCTGTACTCCCTGCTCTTTTCTGCTGAGGTGCCAGCTCCCCAACATCTGCAGCAGGAGAGACATGCACACCTACTTTTTAACAGGTGGAACTTGGAATTTTACTTCTGCTAACTCTGAATGCCAGGTTTCAGGCCCCCAGGGCCCCCAGAGAGACCAGGGACAGTCCACAGAGGAGGGAGCAGAGCTGGGGGCCTGGACTCCGGGTGGGACAGCCACCTCTCCAGGACCAAACCTATCAGGCACAGTGCGCTTCTTGGATAAATGAGTTAAGAATTCCCTCTGAATGCCTGGCTGGTGTGGCTAAGTGGTTGAGCGTTATCCTATGAACCAGGAGGTCAGGGTTCGATTCCAGTTCAGGGCAAATGTCCGGATTGCAGGCTCAATCCCAAGTGTGGGGAGTGCAGGAGGCAGCCAATCAATGATTCTCTGTCATCATTGATGTTTCTATCTCTCTGTCCCTCTCCTTTCCTCTCTGAAATAAAATATATATATAAAGAATTCACTCTGAATCTCAGCTCTCTGCTGCCTTGTGTCTTGCAGCCGAACGTCTAACTGCAGGGTCAGCTTGCCTCAGAGTCCTGGGAAAGGCACAACCTCCCCTTAGGCCTGGAAAGTTTTCTGGCACAATCAGCATTCAAGGGACACGAAGTCTCCCCTTTTGCAACAGGCTATTTCCAGCACACCATTAATTTCTCGAAACAGAAAGGAAATGCTCCCGGCATGTAAGATTTTTCCCACTCATCTGAAGTATTAGAAGCTGATATATTTTTTTTAAATCCCTGGGGCATTTTTATCCCCCCCCCCCCCCCTTTGCAAGAATGTGCAAAACAATCAAAGTTTTGAAAGCCCAAAATATATTCCATGCTTCCTTCCCTCTGCACCATAGGCCTAAAGAGGAAGTCTCTATCTTGGCCAGGGGTCTTGGCTTTTCTGTTGCAAACATGGATGTGGTGAGCCTGGTGGTGCTGTGTTTATGTGTGTTTCTGGCTCTGTCTCCGATGCTTCCTAGTCTGACGGCACCAACACAGGACCCTGCAAAGGGCTGGGCCGGGCCTCACCCCACCCCCAGGCTTCCTCCTGGGCCCTGGGACCACAAGGGCTTGGACACCACAGGACCGGATCTGGCTGGACTTTGAACTACTTTTGCTCACCTCTCTCAGGGCCCCCATGTGGCTTTGTCCTCTTTTCCACAAGAGGATTTAGCAGGATGACATCAAAGCTCAGGGGATCTCAAGGGACTGTTCCGAGAAGAGACTTGGAGGGCTTGGAACAAAGCTGCCTTTCACGTATCATAGCCACACAAGCATTGTAAGGCGTTTTCACTGGGAGGGCTCAGCCTTGTAGCAAAGCCCTGATTTTAACCTAGGTGTCTCCCTCTAGTCAGGCAGTTAGTCACCCATCTTGGTCAGGGCAGAGAGTGCACAGGGAAGTGTTCCTGCCTGATTTCCCGCCAGGGCATGCTATAGATTCTTCCCAGGGCGTAACTTAAAAACTAAGATAGTCTTCGTTTTAATGTAGTCCAATTTATCAAGTTTTTCTTTTATGATTTGTGTCCAATTAAAGAAATTTTTGCCTAGCCCAAGTCCAGAGAGATCTCCTGTTTTCTCCTATAAGCTTTATGGTTTCATCTTTCGCTTTACTAGTACACTTGTGGCCCATCTTGAATTAATTTTTGTGTGTGCTATGAGCAGAGGTCTAGGTTCATCCACTTCCCCCAAAGGACATCCACTTGCCTTGGCATCATTTGCTGAAAAGACCATCCTTTTCCTATCCTATATAATAAAAGAATAATATGCAAATTGACCCTAGCAGCAGAATGACCAGGAACGACCAGTTGCTATGATGTGCACTGACCACCAGGGGGCAGATGCTCAACGCAGGAGCTGCTCCCTGGTGGTTAGTGCACTCTCACAGGGGACCTCTGCTTCGCCACAAGCCAGGCTGACAGCTGATGTCCGATTGTGGCTTAGGCCTGTTCCCCCGGGGAGCAGGGACATTCCTAAGCTGGCTGGTGGACATTCCCCGAGGGGTCCTGGGCTATGAGAGGGTGCAGGCTGGGCTGAGGGACTGCCCTGAATGCACAAATTTTTGTGCACTGGGCCTCTAGTTGAATTATAATGGTGCCTTTGTGGTAAATCTGTTAACCATACATGAGTGAGTCTACTTCTGGATTCTCCATTCTGTTCCACTGGTCTTGTGTCTATCCTTGCACCAACAATCATAGTATAAATTTAGAATGAATTGTATTAAAACTGAAGCACTGAATAGAGGGAATCCATTATATTCATCTTCCTCTAATCTCCTCCTTATTTCAGGAAGCTGAACATTTGAGGAGGAAAAAGAATTATCCTATATAATAAAAGCATAATATGCAAATTGACGTGTTGGTTGGGGGTGGGGCCAGTGAGCAGTCAGCACCAGGCCAGATAAGGTGCATGCCAGCAGGCAGAGGGAGGGGACGGCGATTGGGGGGCAGCAGCAACCAGCGGCGGTGGAGGGGTGATTGGGGGGGGGGGCAGAAGGGGGCAGGGCTAGCTGGCCATCACCTGATTGGGCCACCCTGTCGCCTCCCACAGAGGGAGGCCAGACTGCAGCTTAGGCCCACTCCCCATGAGAACAGGCCTAAGCTTTCAGTCGGACATCCTCTGAGGGTTGCCGGACTGCGAGAGGGTGCAGGCTGGGCTGAGGGACCACCCTCCCCCCGCCCGAGTGCACGAATTTTCGTGCACTGGGCCTCTAGTTTTAAAATATTTAAACCCAGGAATACTTTCTTCTTTTTAAAAGAATAGTTTATTGATTTTCTTTTTATTTTTTTAGAGAGAGAGGAAGGGAGAAGAGAGAAACATCGATGTGAGAGTGCAATGTTGATAGGCTGCCTCCT